CCGTTTTCCAAAACAGCGACATCATTTTACATTTCCACAACAATGTATGAGTGTTTCTTTTTACAGACACTAAAAAGACACTCAGAAGCCTCCAAAATGAGGCAAGCACAGATCATTCAGGAGAGCTTCCAGGAGGGATGACTGATTCCCTCTTCACGTGTACTCTCCAGGCTACAATTCCCACAGTGGGAATAGTGCAACTAGGAGAGTTCACAGCTGGTCTCCGACCCACCAGAAGTCATACATGAGCCTACCTCTGCTCCGAAAGCCCAACACATCGGTCTAAATTCATTAACCAGAGTTGTCACAGACAATCGTATAGCCCGTGATTTCCTCTTAGTCAACCAAGGGGAAGTTTGGGCTATAGCACATACCACTTGCTGCACCTATGTAAATACCACACAGCAAATAGAAAAAGCCACCTGACTCTCTAAAATAGGCCCAACTAAATTCTGGGACATGTTTTGATTGCCTGGATTTAATAATCTATGTCCTTGGCTCCCAAACCTATCAGAAGACTAATAGTCATTTTGATGCTGATAATTGTCTATGTTACAATTGACTCATAAAGCCTGTCCAGAATCTTAAGTTCTATTAGGGCGCTACACAGGGCAGCCATTGTCACATCAGACAGTTCAATAACACATCCTACGACAGAAGAAGGAAAGATTAATCCTGGTTCAATTATAGACCACGTTCAGTGGATGCTCTTCTTAACCAGCAAAATGATCTTAATCAGCAAAACCCTGGCAATGATGAAAATCTGGATATAATGGATGAATGTCCTGAGACCTGACTTTGTCTGTATTTGACAAAAAAGGAGGACTAAGAACAGCCCCGATAGTTGGAACTGATCTGATGCTCACAGATAGACCTCAATATTATTACAAGCTGGTCTGATGCTCATAGGATACTTTGTTCTCCTCTTCTCTAGTTCTATCTGCACAGAATACCAACCTCAGACGAGCTTATGCTGAGAACATGATAAAATGAAACAAAATAAGGCCACTTTTCATGAAGTAGAATGGCTGTGGGGAGATGGGTGCAGGGAGTTACTGTTGAAGGGGTATAGAGTTTCAGTGTTACAAGAAGAAAAGAGCTATGGAGATGGGTGGTGGTGATGATTGCCTAACATTATGAACGTATTTAATACCACTGAACTGTACACTTAAAAATGGTTAAGATGGCAAATGTTACGTTATGTGTATTTTACCAAAAAATTTTTTTAAATGGAAAAAACCAAGGTCACCCCTTCATAATTTTGTCTAAGCAAGGTCATAGTGCTACTCACCAAATACCCAATCATAAAATTGCCCCCACTTTCTGACTGCATCCATTCTAGGGCTAACCCTCCCCTAAATCACTCAACCAAAGCCCAGATCATATAGTGAGTTCTTTCTAACATCCTCATGTGGAGACACCCTGTGGTTCCCCTTGGTGTGCCTTCTCCCTCACTGCAGTGAGTCACAAACCCAACTTGTCTAATGACAGGTGTGTTCCTGGTAGTCTTTGGCCAAAGGGCATGACAACATATATTAATTATATTCCTAAAGAGCAACACAAGTTATTTATATTCTTTTTCTTCATTCTTATAAAGCAAGCCTCCTTGAACCACCCCAGGTTAAGAAATAGAACTTTATCAACCATCCTAGAAGCCCTCCTCACATCCTGTTTCAATTATAACTCACTCCCTCCCCCCAAAGTAACCACTCTCCAGACTCTTATAGTAATCATTTCCCTGTTCTTATAAGATTTATCGCCCAGCATGTACTCCTAGATGCTATAGTTTAGTGTTGCTCATTTCTTAAAATGTGATACATCTTTTAAGTCTCTTTTAATCTATAAGTTTCCCCTCCGTCTCTTTCTTTTCCTTACAGTTTTCCTGTTGAAGACCCCAAGTCTTTTCACCTGTAGAATCTACCAAGTCTGAATTTCCCTGATCGCACCCTTATGTTTCCGTTCACTGCGTTTCTTCATCCTCTCTGTTTACTGCAAACTGGCCACTGGATCCAGGGGCTCTGTCAGACTCCAGCTCAGTCCCTCGAGCAACACTGTAGGCGGTGTTAGGTTCTTTCATCAGGAGGCACTGATCTGGTTTCTCTTGTTTTATGATGCTAGCAATTGTTGGGCGCAATGCCTGGATCCATTAATTTATTGGTGGCCATGAAATAGTGACAGTCTAACTATAATTTCTTTTTCATTTATTAATGGGGTATTTTAATTAAGAGATGCTTCTTAGCTACTATTTGGCTACCTGTAGGTATAGTTCATATAGGAAAGGCAGGATAAATGCATGATTCTTTGCTTTTGTTTTTCACTTTTCAAGATCGTGAATCGCTTTCTCTGAAGGTGACCAGCCAATTAAAAAAAAAAAACCTTTATGAACTCATGGATTCAAACATATTTGGTGGGTTTTAATCAATGTCAATTATTATTATTGACACTCAGATTGTCCTATCTTTGGCCTGTTGGAGACTCTTCAGTTGGCTCCTGAATGGCTTGATCCATTCCTGGTGGTCTTTGTGGCTTCTGTGCTATCTAGTGTGAGCAACTGTTCCGGGTTCTTCTTTTACATTTCCTGCCCCAGATCTGTACCCAGCCAAGAAGCCATGGATGGTAATCTAGGCATTAGGGATGCTCATTGCTATGAGTTGGTCATTGTTTCTAACACTTAGAGAATGTATGCACTAGAGAATATAAAATATACATTTTATATATACAACATATATACATTTTAACTTAATTTTTTTATAGTACATCTGTATCTCCTTTGTTTCCATACCAAAAATTCTAGTTCTCAAGGATACAGGGGATGATTAATTAGAATATCCTCAGTATTAATTACTCATTTGTTTTACCCCACATCACTAAAGTCTGAATATAGAAATACTATTACCATTACCAATATGATTACTGAGAACGGTTACATAAATTGTTTTGCATATGCTGTTCCCATTCCTCCTTCACTTTTTTTTAGAACAAAGGTTGGCAAACTTTTTCTTTTTTTACTGCTTTAACAATTTTAAACTGCATAATTCAGTGGTTTTTAGTATATTCACAAAGTTATACAATCATCACCACTATTTAATTCCAGAATATTTCCGTGACCCCCAAAAGCAACCCTGCACCTTCTGTTCCCCAGCCCCGATCCCCTGGCAACCACTAATCTACTTTCTGTCTCTATGGATTGCACGTTCTAAACATTTCATGTAAATGGAATCACACAATATGTGACCTTTTGTGTCTAGCTTCTTTCACTTAGCATGATGTTTTCAAGGTTCATCTACGTTATAGCATATAATACAAGTTATTTTTTAAGTAGAAAATAAATCAATACAAGGATGATTGGGCACCAAATTCCTCATCCGCCTGCATAAACAGGGCTGCTTCAGCTGACTTCAGCTCCTTCCTTGCAGTAGCCTGAAACCCTTGGTGAGTAGGAGCCGGCTACCTTGCCAGAAATCACAGTGCATGAACGGCAACTGCTGGCCACCGCATAATGTAAAGAAAGCATTGGAAAGAAAGGGCTGGGTGTCACATCCCAAGATGCATCTCCCCTCAGTCCCTTAGTCAGAACAGCTTCCGGCTACGTGCGTCCAGCCTCTGCCGCTACTTGGCACCACTTCTCTGCCATCCCAGATGGACAGGGGCTTTCAGCGTTGAAATCCAGGCCACAGTCTGCTTATGGGGCCCGACAATCAAGGCTTTGTTCTCCATCCATGACCAGCCTTGGGTTCTATTAGGGCTGCAAGATCTGAACCAGGCCTGGCTAGTGAGGAGCTGACCACAACTTCTGCGCTGAGAATTTCTCTCCTCCTCCCACACCAAGACCTGAATCTACCCTGTTGGACTTGAGCATATAATGTTGTGAGAACCAAGTGAGATTGCCTCTCATTCTTCAAGAAGGGCTCTGTGCAGATATCCGCAAGACCTGGTAACCTTTCCCAGCACCCACTCCCGCCCACCCAGCCCTGACCCGGCTCTGGGCCTCACCCTCCTGTATGCATCTAATCACAATGAATTGGATAACATGTTTATGTGTTGGTTCCCCCAACCAGCAAGGGAGGCTCTTGAAGGCAGGGACCATGTTTTACTCACTTTATACCCCCAGTGCCTGGTCCAGAGAATGCTCTTCATCAATGATCACTTAGAGAAGGAGGAAGGCAGTGAAGTGATAGAGTCCTGTGCCCCAACCAGACTGTGTGCTGCCTGAGAGCAGTGGCTTCACCTCTTCACTGCCTCCTCTTCCTCTTCCACCTGCCCCAATAATACCTGACTGGAGATGGGGCTCAGAGAGGGCATGTTGATGAGTGATAGCTTCAGTTAAGATTCAAACAATCTCCACCTGTAGGACTTCTGGATAATGTCTTTATTTAGCTCAGGTAGATGTTTCCCACACATTTCTGGATACTTGGGTTAGAATTTTCTCCATTGTACTCAATAAATTGTTCTTAAGCTCTTATATAGAATAAATGCAAACATGCAAGTACAATGCAGGCTAAAATAAAAAGCTCCTTGCACATAAACATTAAAAGAAAAACAATTGAATACAGGGCAGAGAGAAAGGAGACCGGTAGAAGGTGACTGAATTACTACCCCCTCACTCTGGACCTGTCCTGGTGCCTGGATTTGGGCACTCCCTCTGCTCTCTGCTCCTCTTTGACCCAAGTCCCCAACCCACCCTGGACGGGAACAGGGGCCTTGCAAGGCCAGGAGGCTGCCCTGTTCCTGCCTGCCAGAGGGCAGGGGAGGCAGTCCCCCCAGGCACCATAATCCCAGACCCTTGTGGTCAGATTGCTCCGCCTTGTTCAAGCGGGGAGACCACCTCTGTGCCGGTATCCTGGGATGCCTCTTCCCTTCACTCTTCATAGCTCCCGACTATCAAAGAGATTGGACAGGCCCTGGTGTGGTCTGCTCTAAATGTTTCTCAAGCCAGTCAGCTCCCACAGAGAGCCAGTCAGCTGCTGGGCTCAGGGGTTTCCAGAGAGCTCCCCAGAGGTTTCCAGAGGCCTGAGGATCTCCTAACCCTACCAGTCCTCCTAGCTCAAGCACAACTTCAGAAGGCTCCATCAGCTCCTGTGTGGGCCCTGCTGTGTCCACTGTCTGTGGTCAGTATGCAGAGGGGCAAGTCCAGGGTGGGGGGGCAGGCACGATCCTTCAGGCTTGCCTGAAGCCCAGACAGCAAAAATCAGCCAGACCAATATCTGTGGGTTTCGGGCCAAAGATTAGAGCCCCCTAGGCCAGCCCCCTGGCTGGGCTGCCCAGGCAGGTCAGGTAGACAGAGTCTAGGCTACAGGGTTCTCAGCCCCCTAGGGGCGCACCTGCACCTGGAAGTGCTCGCAGCGGGCATGCTTCATGGTCAGCCCATAGATGGGAGTCGTGTCCACCTTCACTCCCGGTGGCACGCTGAATTCCACCTCCTGCAGCAGGATGGCCAGGAAGAGAAAGACCTCCAAGCGGCCAATGGTCTCACCAATGCAATTCCGCTTGCCCAAACCAAAGAGAATCACCTTCTCACTCAGTGCCTTGTCGATGGTGCCATCGGGGGTGAGAAACCGTTCTGGTCGGAACTCAGATGGGTCGCCCCACAGCTTCCTGCAATGAGAGAGAGGCAGCTAAGAGGCAGCTCGAGGGCTCAGAGGCATCAAGTGAGTTGAGCCCTGGTCCCAAAGAGCAGGGGATGGGCAAGTGGCCCACAGGCAGCAGAGTCTGAAGCTCAGGAAGAGGTGGAGTTTCCCCTGCCCCCTCTCAACTTACTGGTCATGGTTGATCTGCCATTGGTTCACAAAGACACAACGCCCCTTGGGAATGTAAAAGCCACTCAGACTTGTGTCTCTTGTGGTACTGGGGAGGGAGGAAGCTCAGTCAGTCTCAGGACCAAAGGACATCCCCTGGCCTCCCAATACCATGGCCCTCCCACCAGCCCTGATCAGGTACATGGACTGGAGTAAGGCCCAGTATCAGACAGCAGTGGATCCATGGGGCCTCACCTATGGGGGATGGTGAAGGGGAGGAAGGAGGAGTGTCGGAAGGTCTCCAGGATGAAGGCCTCCATGTAGGGCAGCTGGGGTCTGTCAGAGAGCCGGGGCCGCCGCGCCCTGCCAACCACTGAGTCTGCAGAACCCAAAGGACCAGAAGGATGAATGGGCCGCCCAGACCGTGGCCAGGCCCCCTGCCTTGAGTGCTTTCAAGGAAGCCACCACCTACCCAGCTCCTCCTGGATCTTTTTCTGCATGCTGGGCCTTGTCACCAGGTATAGGAGGCTCCAGGAGACGGCAGTTGTGACTGTGTCAAACCCTGGCCAGGGGAGAACAGAGGGAGAAGTTAGGCGGTTGGTGGGGTAGGGCAGTTGAGCACAAGAAGGGCATAGTGGGGTAGCTCATACCAGCTCCAAAGAGGTCAAAGACGACACTAATGATCTTCTCGTCTGACAGCTGGATATTGGCATTCTCGTCCAGCTTCTTGTCCTGACAGTGCTCGATCAGGCTGTCTGTGATGTCCCGGATGTGGCCCTGGGTAGGGAAGGCCCACAGGTGAGCAAGATCCCAAACCCAGACCTACCCCTCCATCCAGGCCTTCTCCCTCACCATCCCTAGCTCCTTTGTTCAAGAGGCTGCCATCCCAGCTTCTCTTGCCTCTCCAAGGCTCTCTCCTGCCTCAGAATACTGAAGCCCCACCTCAAGGGACTCCTGCCCCAGAGTCTGGTACCATTATCATCTGGACGGGCTCTTTTTCTCTCCCTATTCTCTCCCAGGAGGCCTGGAGACCAACTCTTTAATTCTTCCTGGTCCCCACAACAACTGTCCTAGGGTCCTGCACTGACCGGCTATTCAGTAAATATCGCTGTCTGATGGAGGGATATTAGGGCTAGTCAAGAGAAAGTTCTATTTCCCCGCCAATGATGGAATCCATTTGACTACCGGCTTCAAAATCCCAGGGGAAGGCCCCTGAGAGCCTGCCAAACCCCATGCTGCTCCAGATATCTCTGACCCCCCGGCCCTGACCCTACCTGCTCCCCACCACCCACCTGCCTCTCCCCAGCCTGTACCTTCACAAATGTTTTGTAGTGTTCCTTGACCATCCTCTGCATTAACACGTTGAACCTCTCATTCAGGTCCTTGAAGATATCCAGGGCAGAGTTGGGCAGGTAACGGAGGATAGGGATGAAGTCTGCCGGGAACCCAGAGGCAGCCACCTCCCCAAACTCATTATTCAGGTTGACGAGGCTAAGCAGCTCTTGGTCATCGTGGTCATAGCGTCGGCCAAAGCACATGGCACAGATGACATTGGCCACTGACACCACTACATACCTGTAGGGGTCGAAGTGTCCAACCCCTGCCATCAGCTCCTGGAACTTGCCGACGAGGTACTCAGCCTCCTTGCTCACGTGCTCCTCCAGGTAGCAGGAGGATGAGGAAGTCGGGTCTGAGGAGGTGGAGAAACTCTTCAGGGCGTTCTGGGCCAGGCGCCGGCGGGCAGCCCACACTGGTCCAGAGTCTGGGTTGAAGGTCATGCTCTGGCCATCAGAGATCAGAGTGAAGCTGTAGAGGTCAGGCCGGCCCTTGAAATCATCGCCCTGCCGCACCAGGGCCTGCCTGATGGTGTCCAGGCCACTGAGCACCAGCACAGGTGTGCTGCCAATGCGGATCTGCATCACGTCCCCATAACGCTGGCTCAGCCGCGACAGCACCAGGTGTGGGTTCTTCCCCAGGGTCAGCACGTGCCCGAGCAGGGGCCAGCCCCAGGGCCCTGGTGGACTCCTCAGGCCTTTGGGCATCCGAGGCTGCCAGGCCCTGACCACCCAGAATACCAGGCAGAAGATGGCGGAGGCCAGGAGAAGCTCTGTGGCCGAGATGGGGACAGAGAGTCCAAACACAGAAAACATGGTCAGCGTAGAGATCTCAAGGTGGCTGCTGAGAGGTGGGGCAGGAAGAAAAGATCAAGACATCAGATGGGGGGATGGGAGGAGCCAAAGTCCTAAAGTGTCAGCACACTGGTCAGGGAAAGGGGAAACCTCATCCAGAACTGCTCACTGGACATGAAGGGGAGGAGGAGGTGAGAGAAGCTGTTTGTTGAGTTCCCACCATGTGCCAAGTATTTCATGGTCATTCTTCATTCAGTTCTGGCCACAGCCTAGGAGGTAGGCTGCAGTGAGCCTCAGAGCAGGTAAGTAACTTGCCCAAGGTCACACAGCCAGCAAGCATTAGATCCATTCTCCCAACTCAAATTGCCTAATTCCAAACACGCTCTCTTAACTGCTGCACCAATCTAAAACAGCATTATCCATGGCCAGCCCGGTGGCTTAGCGGTTAAGTGCGCATGCTCTGCTGCTGGTGGCCCGGGTTCGGATCCCGGGCATATCGTGCCCTGCTTCTCCGGCCATGCTGAGGCCGCGTCCCACATACAGCAACTAGAAGGATGTGCAACTATGACATACAACTATCTACTGGGGCTTTGGGGGGGGAAATAAATAAATAAATAAAATTATTTAAAAAAATAATAAATAAATAAAACAGCATTGTCCAAAATCTACTCTGTGATTTCCTTTTAGCACCTGTACTATTATTTACTTCATGTTTTTCTAAAATCAACTTTAAATCTACCAACATAGCATCATCCCAAACAACAATATCTGTGTGAAAATATGTTTGATTTTTTTCTCCTAACATATATTAAAATAAACACATAACCGACGTGTATCACCCCAAATCCCTTGAGTACTACCCACGACTCTTGGGAAAACGCTGCAATCAGGAGAAGTGGGGATCATCTGCTCCTTCAGCCTCATTTCACATATGGGGAAATTGACCTCCAGAGAGGGTACTGACTTGGTTAACATTACCCAGCACTCAGTGACAGAGCCAGGACCCAGACCTCTTAGGGAAAGTTCCCTAGGGAGTTTCCAGCTCCTGTCATAGGTACCTTCCTTTGAAAAGTGGTCAGATTAATGGATGAAAAGGAACTTTCCCAGAGCCCTCAGTTCTCTACTGCTCAATCCCAGGATCTAGGGAGTCCTCCCAGAACCTAGGACAGGGTGGGGTGGGAACAGGGAACAGGAAGGCCACTGCCTAAGCCACACTGCTCTCAGCCCCAGCTCTCTGAGTTAAACTAATCCACAGTTTAAAAGCAGCTGGACACCAGCTAGATTGAGACTCCTGGTCGCAGAAATCCAGGCCAGGGTTTTTGTTGGGCTCAATTCTCAATGAATGAATAGTCTGGGCTTCCCCCATTTGCCTGTCATCAGAGAGCAGAGAATAAATGGAAGGATCCCACCAGGCCAGGGCTGCAAGAAAACTGCAGACTGGAATAAGGGAAATTAAAAATGGATCTGAACTTAACAGAAGTGGAGACAATGCTTTCTCTCTGGGCTTGGTCTAGAAAGGGTGTGCATATTCATGGAGTACTCTCTCCAAGGCATCTGCCTGGTGCCCTGGACTGCAGGTGAGGCGACCCGGTATTCCAGGCTCCATGGCGTGGCCATGGACTGGTCATTTTACCTTTCTGGGCTTATATCACCTGAGAGAGGGGGTGGGACGTGATCTCTGAGTCAGGGTGCCCAGCTAGATCTCAGAGAAGAGAAAACCCAGATCTGACCTGGGGAACCTCACAGTCTGACCAGTAAGGTTTCCCCACAGGAGAGCCACCCAAGATGGGGAGGTTGTATGGTTCCTATCTCTAGTACCAGAGTCCTCTGTCTAGGGAAGCCTCCTGGAGTAGCTGGATCCCAAAGCACACTGACTCCCGAGTGAACGGGGGCAGGATTTGGTGTGCCATGGTGTCCCCTTCTGCACAGTGGGCGCCCTGAGGACCTCCAGCCTTAGTAAGATGGTAAGAGGCCAAGAGAGATGAGACTGGTGAGTTTTCGGGGACTGGTGATCTGGCTCTCTGCAGCTGGCAGTCTCTCACACTGATTGGCCCCCAGCGGAGGGCAGAGAAGACAATCAGTGAAATAGGGAAGGCCCCTGGCCAGTGCCCAGGACTGCTCAGATCAGCCTCTCCTGTCCTAGCCAGCACATCTCAGCTCTGACAAGCCATGCCTTGGGAGGGTATAGCTAGCCAGGGGTAGCCTTAAGATAAGGCAGCTGCCCCCTCCCTCCACCCTGATGGAGAGAAGCACCCCTCATCACCCAGCCTAAAGTTGGGGCTGCATATGCTCCCACAGCTGTGTCCTTATTCCAGCCTCCCAGATGACCCTGATGGGAACCCCAGGCACTCAGAGAGCCAGTGGGGGATGGAGCTGGAGCCTGGGTCCTGGAGTCCTGAGAGGGGGGGCATCTACATCTAGAGTTCTGGTACTAGCTCTGGGACCTTGGGCAAGTCCTGCCCTTCCCCTGGCCTCAGTTTCCCCACCAGGGAGCTGGACTGTCTGGTCACTAAGGACCTGCTTTTTTGAGGTGCTAGGCCAGTGTTTACCTAAGAAGACCTGGAGGCATCAAAATTTTCCTTTTATTGGGAGGGAAGGGGCAAGCCAGGAGTGCCCAGCACTCACCTGTGGCTGTGAGGAGGTGCTGAGCTGAGCTGGGAAGAGTGGTCTCTGGAGCCAGGGACCCCAAAGAGATCAGGGAAGCCTCCAAGGAACAGTCACCTTCAGGCTGAGGGTGAAGGCGCTGCCACCTTTATAGGCAGCTTGCGCGTGTGGCCACGCCCCCCGAAGTGCCGGGAAGGGGCAGAGGGAGGTGCCGGCCTGGGGTGGGGGGGTGGCTGGTGGCTCTAGGATAGAGGGGACGGGCGAGAGGGACGAAGGGTGGTGGATGCAGCGGGACAGGTGAGAACCCGCTATAGGGACTCCTCATCTAAGTGCCTGCAAGTTGAGGGGTGAGGGCTGGGGACACCTGGCACCCCCAGTTCCAAGGTACTCCATGGACAGCGCCGAGTTCAGGGTTGCGGGGATTTGGGGGAAAAGTCCCAGGACCGCCCTAAGAAAGGGTATGGGGAGCCTCCATTTTGGGGGCACGGGGACCCCTCACCCTCATTTTTGCACCCACTGGAACAATGGCCGTGCAAGAGCCTCCCCCCTCGCTACTAGCGGACGGGGCCAGGCAGACAGGGGCGGGGCTGCCGGCTGATGACCTCCTTTCCCCGGGGTACTGAGTCCAGGCTCGCGTGACAAGCGCGGCGACCCCAGCCCCGAGGTCACCGGGGCCGGAGGGCCAAAGGCGCCAATGGGCTGGCCCGGTCCCCTAGAGCCCCCAGAGCCTGGGCGACTACCAGAAGTCCGTGCCCCCAGACAGAGGGGCGGTAATGGATGGAGAACGTGCATTCTCGCTGAGCGCTGACTGAGCGCTCGGCGCCGCCTTTGGGGCCACTTGGGAAAGCTGCAAACCAGGGGTACCTCCAGCCGGGCCCCAGCGGCCCCCGAGGTTCCCACTTGGCTCCCGGGTTGCGAGCGCTTGGCGGGCAGAGAAATCGGGCGGCGAGTGGGGCTGCGCGGCTAGCTCCCGGGGACCGAAAAAGGGTTAGAGAGAGGCCCGCAGGCCGGGCAGGGGAAGGGTCCAGGGAGAGAGGAGGGGGGCGCCGGGCGCAGATGACTCCCCGGGCTAGCGTGCATGTGTCTGGTACATCCCTCCAGGGGGCAGAGTTCACACGGCCCCTCCCCGCCCCACCTGGGCGGGGGCGCGGTGCCCGGGACTTGCGTGAGAAGGGCCCGGAGGCCCGCGCAGCCACCCAGCCGCCCAACTCCTCTGCCCAAAGCGGGTCCCGGCACAGTCACGCGAAGGGGGAGGGGAGTCGGGGGCGCGGCTCTTAAAGGGCCAGCATCTAGCGGAGGGTAGGGGTGGGGTGCAGGGAGAGGAGCCGCCTAAGCCTCGCAGGTGCGCGATTGGACTGGAAAGGGGCAGGGGGACAGTGCGGTTCAAAGGGCCCTGGCTTGCGTGCGGAGCTGGGCTTTTCCCTGCAAGCCGGCGCCTGCATGTGTCCATATTTTTGGTCCACACCTGTGGCGGGACACGCAGCCCCAACGTCGCGCAGCTCGCCTGGCTGGCTGCCGCCGACACTGTCCCCGCCCCTGCTGAGCCCTCCTGGTTTAGGATGTCCAGACAGAAAAAGCCATATTTTCGTGTCTAGCTCAACGTGTCGCTAACTAACCACATCACCCGCCCTCCCCGCCGTGGTCCCCAACCCAGCGAATGTCACAGCCATCTGCTGGCCCAGGCCAGAAAACAGAGCCTCGTCCGGCCCACACCTCCCATTCCAGTCAGATACCACCTCATGCATTGCACAAATATTTACCAAATATTTGTTCTGGACGCTAGTGACTGATATGGAAGCGAACAAAACAGACAACGCTTCTGCTCACATGGAGCCTACATTCTGGTGGGGGGAGACAGATAATGCGCAGAGAATCTCAGAGGATGAAAAGTGCTAGAGAGAAAAATAAAGCAGAGAAGGGGTAGGAAGCACATGGGGACTGATTGCAATTCAGAATAGGGTGGTCAGGGAAGGCCTTACTGAGAAGATGACACGGAGCAGAGGCTGGAGTGTGGAATCAGGAATGAGGGCGCACAGACAAACGGAGCAAGAGTGCATGCGCCTGGCAGAGGGAACAGCAAGTTCAAAGGCCCCATACACTGATTCTTGAGGGAGGGAGCAGTACCAGGGGCCCTGGAAATGTGCAGCAGTGGTCACGGATTGGGGAGTCCTCCTGGAATTTAGTGCCCCTGGGGGATGGGATGGCTGTGGGGGCCAGCCCTACCCCAGAAGCAGGGAGCACCCTGTTGAGAAACAAACATGGGACCTCCTCTGGGTGAGATGGAGACATTGTGGGGTCTGAGCCAAGGCAGATCACTCTGGCTACTGTACTGAGAATAGACTGGGCATAAGGACACAGAGTTTCTGCACTCTGCAGTCTGTCAGCCCCACCGGCGCATCCTCTGCCAGGCCCCACCACTGCTGCCTGGAGTACTAACAGCCTCCAAACCTGCTTCCCGTTCGCCTTTCACTCCCTCCACCTCCTGTTCCACCCTCTGGCACCCAGAGTCGTCTTTTCAAAAATGCAAAATCTCATTCCGTCACCGTCACCGCCTTGCCCCCTCAGTAGCTCCCATCTGAATAGAAACCAGAATCTTTAGCAGAACCTACCAGGCCTGCTCACCTCTACTTCAAATCTCCCCTACTTTAAGTCTCAGCTGAAACATCGGTTCCTCTGGGAAGCCCCCGTGAATCCTCTCCATGGCAAGTAGTGTCTCCTGGTCCATGTTTCCAGCGCTTCTCCATGGTAATTCTCAGGACACCTGACCCTTGCTATGACCCCGACCCAATCTGTCACTGCTTCTTCCTCCATGCCCCAACACAGAAAAACAACGTATGGGAAATCGATCTGATAAGCCAAGTCCTTGCAAGATATTAATAACTGGTAAAGGAGTTAAATCCAGCTGTATTAAGGATGGGGCACAAGACCAGGCTGAGGTTGAGCCCAAAGCGCTGATGCTATAATGGTGGAATTTAGGCAACAGAACAGGCAGGAGACAAGTGAGGTATTGTTGGGCTTCCAGGCCGTCCAGCATCCTCCTGTTCATTCCACCTCCGCATCTCTACTTCAGCCTGAGGAGCTTCATGGTACCGGAGAGAGGTCTGTCCTTCAATCCCAGTTGGAGCTGGAGCCACGGAGAGTAGAAAGAACCTGTGTGGAAGTCGTGGCAAGGAAGTGGGGAGCAAGGCACTCCCAGATCCCTCATGCTGCCCTGCAGCCAATCTCTCCCTCGGCTCTCCAGAGTCCCCCCCAATGCCCTAGCTCCAGAGAAGCATGGCAGCCTGCTCATCAGGACTGGAAAACCGTCTGCTGGGGCTCCTGACCAGGGACCCAGAAAACCCCTGCTCTTGGTAGCAGATGGATTGCTTCACTCACATTCTCTAAGGGGCCCTTGACCCCAAAGAAACTCATCATTTTGAATTTTGTTTCCAGACGACCAGCAAAGTGCCAGGGGCCAAAATTGGACAGGCTCAGCCCCTGGGCCAGGGCCCCCATCTCCCCATACTCCTGGACAAGAGTCTGGTGCACCGGGGTTACGGGAGGCTTTGCACTTCTCCTCTCCAAGCCCTGTCTCAGAAAGCTCACAAGATGGAAGGGGGCCCTTGGGAGCACCGGCCAGAGAAAGAGGGAGACAGGCAGGAGGTTAGAGGACCTTGGCCTGGAGTGGAACAGCCAATCCTGGGTCAAAGTTTGCATGCCTTTGCGTGAGAAGCTCTTTGGCTAGGATTCCCTAGTGATTGACACCAGGAACGCAGAGGCAGAAGGGCAATGGGGAGGGGAGAGGACTCTGGGCTGGAGGGATAGAGACAGCTGAGGGTCTTGACCCAGCAGAGCGATCCAGCCTAGAGTCTTTGTTCAGCGCAGCTGACAGCTACGTGGCAGGGGTGAGGAGACAGCAAGACCCACAACAAACCCCTACCCGCCGTGGAGACAGGAACCACACCCCAAACATAGCCTATGCTGAATCTGGAGATGCCACAGGAGCTGTGAGAAGGCTCAGGCCCCTGGGGGTGGGAGCAGGTAAAGGAACGCTCTGGGAGAGTGGAGGACAGGAGAAGAGGTCTGGGGTCCGAAGAGTTTAGGAAGAGCATTCCTGGCATGAGGAGGGGGCATGACACGAACACAGCACGGTAGTGGGAGGCTGCGGGGAGGCAGTGTGAGAAGAGTGGAGTTCGAATGGATGCGGACAACTGGGCCTTGTCTCCCAATGTGTCCTCACCCGCCCAACCACCCTCCACCCCACCCGAGATCTGAACCCTGAGCACCTTTCCCTCTCCTTCGTGTGCCCAGAGAGCAGAGAAATGCAGTTTGCAGGATCCGGGGCTCAGATGGGGCAGCCCCCCCAGCTCCGGGGCCCATGGCTGCTGTAGTCGGAGAGACGGTGCTTTCCCAGGATAGTCTCGGTCTAAGCCTGTTGTCCTGGAATAATGGTTAAAAGTGCCCTCTTTCACTCTCAAGAGAGTCCTGGTGTGGACAGTTGATTATACGGTCGCCCCGGGGATAGTGGCCATCTGGGGCGTTTTGCGTGCACAGCCTCCGTCCTCTCTTCTTCTGGCGATACCACTTCAATTGTGCTTTGGGGACCACCCTACATCTACTCTCAGACAGTAGGTCTGGTGGAGCTGACCCCATCCCAGGCTACCAGGCCGGCACGTGACCCAGGCCAGGCCAGGCCAATGAGAAGCCTACGAGGGTTTTCATGAAATTGTTGGAAACAAAAGGTTCTCCTTCTCCAGGGGTGGCTACGCTGGTTGGAAAATAAGTCTGGGCCTACCAGTGGCCATTTTTTAAGAAAGCACTTTAGAATGATGCCCATTCAGGGGAAAGCAGAACTGGGAGATGAGTGAGGGGAGAGAGGGATAGAACTGATGACATTGAGCACCTAGATCCAGTTATTCCTGAAGCCAATGAAGTTCACCCGCAGAACATCTCTGTTACGTGAATCAATATCACCACACCTCCCCTTCTCCTCCTTTCCCCTTTCTCCTGCTTCTTCACCTCTTCCTCTTTCTCTTCTTCCTCCTCTTCCATCTCTCTCTCCTCCTCTTCTTCTACCAGGAGCTGGGGTTGGGGACTTGCAGCTGAAAGAACTATAACCCAAACCT